TATATGTGTTTTATGCCCTTACAACCTCCTTAAAAATTCGAGTCAAATTCAATAATTTAGTTTCATTTTCTAGGATTCGAGTAATACTCATAAGAAATAATATTTCATACTTCATACTCTTGCAAAGTAATCGATCCCAAATTGCTGGTTTCGAATCTTACATACGAGTACCTGCAAAATTCGAAATATACTTACAAAATACTTTTTATCGTACAACATGGAATCTTTTACAAGTAGTACTCGAACAGGATTATTAACGAACAGAAATTCACATGATCTGTGCATTCGAGGTACTCATAGAAGGTTCGAACCTATTCCGTTTAGGTTCGAGTCCACTTGGAAGTACTATTTTTATTTTTCGAGGTATTCATAGAGGTTCGAACCTATTTCGTTTAGGTTCGAATCTACTTGGAAGTACTACTACTATTTTTCGAAGTAATCATAGAGAGTTCGAAACTTATTTAACAGATTCGAACCTACTTGTCAGATACTTAATCCCATCCCTACTCGTAACATTGGACACGTATTATTTAGCACGTAAATATTAGACACGTAATATTGGACACGTATCACTTGGACACGTGTCCAATATATTAATATAGGACCCTAACCTAGGTTAGGATTAGGTTAGGGTTAAGATTGGACTGTGAAGAAGAAAATGCTAGGGCAAGGAATGAGATAGGGGAAGTGGCACCTCCCACCCCTTTCGCGGTAAGGAAAAAAGTGGATAGACCAGCAGGCGAAGACAACAGAATGGACACGTCATCAATAGTTATCTCCGAGGACGAGAGAGCCAGTGGAATATCTGAGACCAGAGACAGAAGAAGCAAGAGGAAAAAGAAAGCAATGGAATCCAGCGACTCAGACGAGGATTATAGCAACCTGTCCTATAATCAGAGGAAAATAGTAATGACCAATATAGAGGGAATCGAAACTCGTGGATCTGCCGATATAAGTGCAGAAATAATGGAATGGCTGAAAGAAGTGGAGAAGGCGAGGGCTGCCTCGAAAAATATAAAAGGAAACATCACAGGGATAATGAAAACTAAAATAAATATGACAAAAAGGCGGTCAGAATTTTAATAGATAGGGCGACGGGAGGGGAAGCCACCCACTGGAAAACTGTTGCGATGGAATATAAAATAGAAACAGACACTCTCCAGGGCCACCAAACTACCGTGGTTTTTGCGTTACCATCGTTTTGTGGCGCCTTCTAGGGAACGACAACCGGTGATGAGGAACTAATATTCAATATGGCTGTCATCGTTTCCGCTACATTGGTACATGTTGGTACATTCTGATCGGCATATTCAGACATATTTGCTACGTTTAGTCCGTTGGTCCGCTCAGTAACTGTTCAGTTACTGTCTTTGGTTTGCTTTGGTTGATGGGATTGTTATATTGTAAGATGGTGCGAAAGTGTTGTATTCCGGGATGTTCTTCGGTACCAAAGGATCCAAGTCATAGTTTTCCAAAGAATGCCGAATGTCGCAATAAATGGTTTCAGAATATAAATATGAAATCACCAGAAGACGAAAATAAAATAAAAAAATTAAGGATCTGCTATAAGCATTTTTGTGATAAAGATTACAAAATTGATTTTACAAAAAGAATTTTACATTCCTGTGTAATTTCATCTATACATGAGCCACAACACATATGGGATCAGTTGATGTTCATTGCAATATTCAAAGCAATATTCAATATTTAATGATAAATATAAGAAGGAATCTGAAAGGCAATTTGCATCATGGAAAGATATCGTAGTAGCATATGAAATGGATAAATATTCTTTTTTAATACAGCGACAGATGCCGCAATTAATTGATCGTCACATTTATTCTCATCTTATTCCAAAAATGAAAGTAAAATATGCTACGCAAGTTCTCAGTCATACGGTGGCCAATTTTATTGATTTGGTACTGACATGGAAAAAAGGTAAACTACATTAAATATTAACAAATAAAATGATTGTTATTGAATTTATGTACAATACAACAGACTCAATACTCAAGCGCTATTTTACATTACAGGTATTGTAAAAACTTCACAGGGAGAGATGTATTTACCACCTAGTGCTGCAATGACAGAAGAAGTTATATTATTTTGGGATAAATTGTTCGATTCCTTCAACAGAAAAGAAAATGGAGAATTAACAAGTGTAATAAGCTCATCAAGCAATCATCTTTCGTTTTTGAACAATGCTGTAAATAGAATTCGAAAAATGGATTTCGTTGAAAGTGCAATGCATAAAGCTATGCGACATAATTCGAAATGTCTGAAGAATTGGATATGGACTATCCAATGCGCACATTATTTGTGGAATATACTGCAAACATGTGGCTTTTCTTCGTTTAACTTAAGATTTCTTAATCAAGATCTGGTAGAAAACTCTTTCAGTCAAATCAGAGATCACGGACATAGAAATAACAATCCTACTCCATATCAGTTCGGTTCTTCTTTTAAAATGCTTTTAACAACAAACTTGACATCGAGACATTCTATTTCCGCTAACTGCAAAGAAATGAACGAAGGGACATCATTGTCACTTATACAAGTGATCTCTGCAACTAAAAGCAATGAAAATGAAGACGAAGGAATAGAATATGCAGAGTCTGCAATACCAGCAGTGACAGAACATAACATTTTTGTGGCTACAGATAATATATTAAAAAATATTTTAATGAGTAAAACTGTTATCCAATGTGAACAATGTGTACAAAATCTGGAAAATCAGGATATTTTGAAAAGTATAGACTCCGCATTACAAATTGCAGAAGTGCGTTTTGTAGATCTTTGCTATACGCTTAAAGTCAAGAAAAAATTAAAAAGTATTTTATATTCGGAAGTATTTTCAAAAGTTTCAACGCATTGTACAATACTAATTGATCATTTAATTGAAGAAACTGCTGAACAGTTTATTATTCAATGGTGTAAATATATTAATAAAATTTTAAATAGAAAATATACAGGAAACTTTGAAAATAATTATATTTACAACGAAGCAAAAAGAATGTCAATAAAGTATACGAAAAAAAAAAAATTAAAAATGTACGTAAAAAATCAATTAAAAATATCAACTTTGTAATAATTCAACTTATTGATATTAGATTATTTATCGGCCGATTATAATCGCGAGATTGCTATTTAAAATAATAAATATATGTATGTATAATATTTGAAATATATTTATTATATTTTGCAAGTGAAAAGATTATATGTATTTCTTTATATCAAAATGCATGACAATATTAAAATTATCAATTAAAAGTTGCTATTTCCAGAACGCTTGATAAAGACAGTATGACGATTATAAACAGGGATGGGAAAGTTACTTTTAAAGTTACTTTTAAAGTTACTTTTTATTTAGAAATTGAGTACAATAAATTACAAGTAATAATACAAAGTTGAAACAAATGATAAAATATGATAAGGAAAGAACGAGACACAAATAAAGGAGAGAACAGGACATCTGTAATGCAACCAAGATATGCTGCAAACAAATTGGAAACGCAGAAAGAAAGGATGGGATCAAATCAAAAATATGCGGAAATTACAAGCGGTACATGAAAGATAACACAGATACGCACCGCCAGAGTGCATAAAACTTTTTATAATAGAAATAGGTACAATGTGGAGGAAGGGATTATAAATGAAGATAATGCCAGGAGAGAAGCAAGTAATGGAAGACAACGCTATAGACAGGAGAGGGAAAGAAGAAGCAGTATGCGCACAGAAGACACAAATATAAAATAAAATTACGGGCAAGAATAGGAGAGATGGGGAAGAGACCGAAGGAGAGATAGAGGAGACTATACACAGGAAAGGACGGATACTATGACACGGACTGGAGCTGGAACCAGGATAGGAGGAATTAGACAACCCAGGGCATCCGCGGTGGTTATAATATGCAATGAAGGGTGCACATACGCAGAGGCCATGACCCTCGCCAGAGAAGGGATCTCGCTCGAAGAGCTAGATATTATTGATAATATGAGGATGCGAAGAGCGGTTTCGGGAGGATTGGTACTTGAAATATATGGAGAGGATCAGGAAATTAAAGCAGACAGGTTGGCTGACCGCCTAGTGGATTTATTCCAAAACAGGGACGTAATCATAAGAAGACCAACTAAGAGGACAGAATTCTTAATATCAGGCCTGGATGATTTAGTGACGAGAGAAGACGTAGCTGAGTTCATCAACAAGCTGGATAGGAATAAATATGATGGAATAAAAATCGGGAATATAAAAATGACTAGGAGCGGTATGGGTACGATATGGATTCAATGCCCTACGATAATGGCCGCAAACATACCCGGTAGGAGAGTCAGGATTGGATGGTCATGGGCGAAAATTGACATCCTCAAAAAACGCCCTCTAAGATGTTACAAATGCTTAGCAAGAGGACATGTTAGACAAAAATATCCGAGCGAAGTGGACAGAAGCGGGGCATGTTTTAATTGCGGAGGAACAGACTATACGATCCAAGTCTGCCGCAATAGACCATGCTGCCCAGTTTGTAAGGAACGGGGTTCCCCGTACAATCATAGGGCCGGAAGCGAAAACTGTCGGCCAGTACCGCCAATATTAATGAGAATAGAGGAAAACACAAATGCGGGGCGGAGGACCGCTGGGGAAGTTCGCGCACAGAATAACGAAACCCTAAGAATAAGAGGAAGAAATGGCGAAGCAGGTAATATGGCAAGTAAATATTAACCACGACAGAGTAGCACAGGACCTGTTAATGCAGGAAATAATGGAGAACAACGCAGAAATAACTGCAATATCTGAACCTTACTCTGTACCGGTGAACCATAGATGATTCGGATCTACGGGAAACAAACCAGGTGCAGCAATTTACTGCAATAGTCAGAATTTCGGCGCTAGACTCGTAGCCAAAGGAGATGGATACGTGATGGTTAAATACAGAGAAATCACATACTGTAGTGTGTATTTTCCCCCCAGTTTAAACAATGAGATACTCCCATTGGTTAACAAGGATGGAAACAGCGGTACATCCGTTTCAAACACAGAAAATGATAATATTAGGAGACTTCAATGCTAGATCAAAACTATGGGATGTGAGGAACTTTAATGTAAAGGGAGAAATGGTCATAGATCTTGCAAATGCGTTAAACGTTAGATTAATTAACAAGAGATACGTTTCAACCTGTGTAAGGACCCAAGGAGAATCAACGGTGGATCTCACATGGGCAACACCGGTTACTGGAATAAATGAAAACAATGGGAAGATAAGAGAGGACATCATTATGCTGTCAGATCACAGGCTAATAGAAATAAGTATAGTTGAAATAAGTTAGAAATAAGTATAGGTGTGGAGACAAGTAAAGAGGAACTAAGGATATCAAAAAACAAGAATTTTCCAAGCTGAATAATAAGGAGTCTGGACGAAGACCTGTTAAAAGCGAGTGTAACATTTTCATGTTGGACTAATAACGATATACACACAGGTAACGAGGAAGAGATGGCAAAGAAACTAGGAAACATATACAAATTGGCATCGGATATGGCTATGCCAAGAAAACGAATAGGTACGAAGCGATCCATCTATTGGTGGAACGATAATCTAAAGGAGATGCGGAAAGAGTGCATGAAAATAAGAAGAAAAATTACAAGAGCAAAGAGAAAAAATAATCCAGTGATAACAGAAAACCTAAAAAGGGAGTACAGGCAAATACAACACGATTTTAAAGCAGAAATCAGTAAGTCGAAGAGGAGCTGATATAATTGATGATGACGTATGGGGGCTCCCCTATAAAGTGGTGATGAACAAGCTAAGGCCAGCAACTATTCCACTAATGGAATCCATGGATAGGAATTTTGTCATAAAAATAGTGAACGAACTGTTTCCAGCCGGACGGCGGAGGGAACCGACGCAAGTGGAGACGGACTGGAATGAAATATGGAATATATCAAACCAGGAGATACAAGAGGTAATAAAGAGGATGGGCACTAAAAATAAAGCCCCAGGACCGGATGGATTATGGAAAGGAGTAATCCGTAAATCAACGGATGTAATGGAAACAAGATGGAGAGATTGCTTCCAAAAGAGTCTGGAAACAGGAAAATTCCCGAAGATATGGAAAACGGCGAAACTGGTATTACTTAAGAAACCAGGGAAGCCAGATGAGGTAGTCAATTCACACAGGCCAATATATTTACTGAACGAAGGAGGGAAACTGTTTGAAAGGTTGCTAGCCAAGAGGATAAATGAATTCCTGGAAGTTAATTCAGGTCTATCGGATAACCAATATGGGTTCCGTGCCAAGAGGTCAACGATAGATGCAGTAAGTAAACTACGAGAAATTGCGGAACAAGCCACAAATGCAGGAAAGACAGTTGTCGCTGTCAGTATTGATATTAAAAATGCGTTTAACTCAATCCCTTGGGAACAGGTGATGACAGCGATGGGAAGCAAAAACGTATCCACATATTTAAGGAACGTAATTTCGGATTACTTAAGTAGTAGATGGATTGTCTTTACGGACGAGGATCAGAAACTAGCTAAAATGCGTATGACGAGAGGGGTGCCATAGGGCTCCGTATTGGGTCCGCTATTGTGGAACATAGCGTTCGATGCGATACTGGAGGAAGAACTACCAGACAAATGTTTCGTCCTCTGCTATGCAGATGATACCCTGGTAGTTGTAAACAGAGATAACATAGCGGAGGCGACATCCAGTGCAGAATTGGCGATGGCAAACATAGCAAATGCCATTGAAAGGTTAGGGCTGACTATAGCGACCAACAAGACGGAGGCTGTGGTGTTTGTACAAAAGAAGATACCACGCCCCCTACCAGCGATGGACGTAAGAGGAAAATTGGTGCAAATAGCCACGAGAATCAAATACCTGGGACTCCATATAGACAGTAAATGGACATTCGCCAACCATTTCCAACAAATAACAGGCAGAATTAACGCGGTGGCAAACGCGTTACATAAACTCATGCCAAATCTAAGGGGCCCAGCGGAGAAAAACTATTTGCCTGGGTGCTATACTCAATTATACTATATGGGGCACCAATATGGGCGACAGACATAGAGAGAGGCAAAAATAGAGAGGTGCAAAACATTTTAAGGAAAGCACCGAAAAGGATAGCAAGCAGGATAATATAATATGTTCTTACAGGACAGTGGCATACGAGGCGGTAATCATATTAGCCAGATTTATCCCGATAGAAATACTAGCGGACAAATACCGTAACCTATACCTAAGAAAAAAGGATCTCAGGAAAAGAGGGGTGGAACTCTTGAGAAGAGAAGTTGAAGTACTAAAAAATCAAGCTATCGAACATGCAATTGCGAAGTGGAAGGAAAGAAGCCAAAAAGCAAGAGGATACGGAATAAGGGTAAGAGAAGCGGTGCTGCCACATTTCGAGGAATGGATCGCAAGAGGACACGGAAGATTGGACTTCCACACGACACAGATGATTACGGGTCATGGATGTTTTGCGTACTACTTGAAGAAAATAAGGAAGATAGAACCGGCAAACTGTTCGCATTGTTCGTGCAACCTAGACAATGCACACGCTGGAGGTATGTCCAGCGTGGAGTAACGAGAGGATGGAATTAACCAGTATAATAGGACAAGAATTAACTTTAAAGGATATACTAGGGAAAATTGTAAGAAGCAGCAAGTGCTGGGATGCGTTCACGAAATTTTGTAAAGGGATAATAAAACAAAAAAGCGGAGAGCCCGACAGGCGGCGAATCGGGTTCACCTCCCCCCTTTGTAATGATGGATCTTGATGGGGAATAATTCCCATCAACATAACGGAGAGAACCGCGAGAGAGATTAACAATTAATTGAACCGCGAGCGATAGAGAGAGACGCGAGCTGTTCCGCAGCAGCCCGGGAAATAAAAGAGAGCCCATGATGGGTTTTAATCAGTGGCACCGCGCTAGAGTAGAGGGCACAAACCCATAGGACCGTCGGGTGCCTGAAGAAATACTTCGGTGGTACCGGGCACCTGACAAATAGGTCTAGAGAAGTCGCGCAGGATAGGGGGAGTTTTTTAGTTGGTAGGCGGACCTGGCAAGGAGAGTAGGCAAATAATGACAATGGCTCCGACGAGTAGGCACATGGTGGAGCGAAAAAGGGGCCTGTCCACTCTCCCAAGGGAGGGAAAGGAAATGGACCCCAATAGTAACCCTTGGCAGAAAGTCGGACCTAGCCTGAGCCTCTCCCGCCAGAAGAAGTCTGAATCCAACACACCCATCGTGCGCGGTAATGGGTGTCTTCCTCCAGATGGGTTTAAACTCCAAAGGGAGAATTATCTGAGAGGTATAAGATTTTTCTCCACCTATTCAAACAAAAACAAAAAAAAGGTTAGGGTTAGGATTAGGTTAGGTTAGAATTAGGATTAGTCCAATATTTACGTGTCCAATATTAACGTGTCCAAATGATACGTGTCCAATATTAACGTGTCCCAGTGATACGTGTCCAATATTAACGTGTCCAATATAACATATAACGTATCCATTTGCAACGTATCCAATTCTAACGTGTCCAATTATAACGTGTTCAAATGAAGGCTATTCTATTCGCCACGTTGGAGGTCCGTCGTTTCCTCTTGTGGCCAATATTGTCTGCATCTGTGCTGGAAGTCTCTCCAGCCAAAGTGGGCGTAACAGTTTCTCAGAGACAGCAGTCCCTGCTAATGTGGAGAGGTGTCTTAGAAATTGGAACGGCTTTCTATCTCCCACCTCTTCTGTTTCTAACAGTTGCCTTATGCGGTGCTCATGCGAGTCTGTTAGTCTTTGTATTAGCGCTTTTTCCAATGCTTGGTATTTTCCACTACTCGGAGGGTTGATGATCACACCTTTGATTTCCCTCGCTTGATGTGGCTCTATTTTTGAAAGAGCATGTATGTATCTTTCATGTTCGCTCGTCACTCTGCATAGGTCGAACTGACTATCGATCTGTACGAACCATAGCTTTGGTTCGTCCGGTCAGAATGGTGGAATTCTTATAACGACCTTGTTGATCTGTGTATCCTCCTCTACGATGACTGATGGGTCGCCAGATTTGTCCATCGTTATGGAGATGGCTTCTGCCTTCGACCAGTTACAGCGACGAACGTCGGACGGTCACCAGTTATGGCGGTAATGGTTGCCTGTGTACTATCGTGTTCGGCGGATTACAACGGCTGTCGCCTTCGGCCTCACTGTCGCCTGTAGCGCAGAGTATCTTATCGTAAAGGTCGCTAAGGTCGCAAAGGTCACAGGTTGGAGAGATTTCTCGGATGAGACTTGTATGTGAGGCTATTTACAATGTATATTTACACGTATATGTACAGTGAAGATGATGATGGTGGTCCTGAAAAGGGTCGATTTAGATACTTTGTGTTAGTTCTGAAAAGGATCGTTCGTATCGCAGTGTCTACTGTGCTAAGCGCTCGCGGTATTCGATGGTTGGCTGGCAGCAAGTCTACTTAGCGGAGCCCTAGGACTCGTTATTATTGAGATCCCTCTTTTACCAGGCCGGGTACGTCCCTGATAGTGTATGCAGTGAGCACGCCCTCTGTCGGCTTCGACGGCGTCTCCCATTCATTACCGGAGGTTTGCGTCCCGGTAGTGTTCCTCGGCGGAGTCGCTGGCGACGACGAGACGGCGCACAGTGGGCGGAAAGGCTCCTTTTGTGGACAAAAATCGACCGACGCTCTAATTCTTAACCGATTTTAAAGTTTTTTTTTTAATTTGTTCGAAATTGAATGAGTTATAAGCCTGTTGTGCGTAAATTTTGATTACGGTCCGAATTAGGAATGGCCGATCCAATAAAATGAGCAAAAAATGCGATAGCGAATAAATTCGTAACAAATCGTGCAAGTATTTACGCAAAAACGTTATTATGTGTTTGCGTATGTATTGCACATCGAAAATAATAAATCTGTAATTTGAATAAAAAAATGGCGGATGTGAAATGAAGGAAAATTCAATAAATAACAGAATTTTCATGAAAACATGTCCAAAAATAAGGGAAGTTCTTTTCTGTCAATATATATATATATATATACATATATATGTCAGAAAGCATAGACATTTTTCAAAGACTGATTTTTGTTATATTACTTCATAATAAATGCATATAAAGTGCATTTAATAATGAAGCAATAATTAAGCCCTTTCACCAAACGTCAAGGTATCAGTCATGAAAGGGGTTATTTTTTTAAGGTTTTATATATATGTATATATAGAACCTTAAAAGTAAATGTACATATACATATACGTATATCCTTTATTTATTGCTGTTTTTAATATTTTTAAGTTTTAAGATTTTTTTGTTATTTTTTGTCTTTCTTGGTGTTTCCTTATATTAATGTAGTAAACGAAAATTAATTAACATGTTTGTTATATTAGATTTGAATTCAAACATTGATCATTGTTTCTTATATTTAATGAGTAATGATTTTGCTCCTTCAGATAAATCTGTACTCTTTTTATCCCGTTTTATTCTAATGTTACTGATCACTGGATCAGAGGAAATGTAAAGATGATGCATTACGTCTTCATTGCTGGCTTTCCGTGAACACATTCTACTATTATTTGCTCGAGCATTTCTAAAGACTTTATTTGTGGCTTCTTGTGCTTCCTCTGAAAGGCTACCAATCGGTATACCTAGTGTTCGAATTATCTCGTGACCATGGATTAAAACCTTGTGCACGGAAGGAGGCAATTATACCAAGAATAAAACTGTACATATAATTTAGCTGTTTCTGTACTGTATTCTTTAAATTTAATGCTAATGCTTGCAAAATATCTCTAAATCTTGTTATTATATCCACTTCTAATCCAGTTACTTCAGCTACAATTTGAGGATGTGAGAAAAAACATCTGGCTACGTTACCAGTGTTTGTTGTTCCATAACCTTGCTTAACTACGTCTACTGTTATGGAAAGTTTAGATTTTAAAGCCTTTTGAATCATTTGTTTCCTTTTTTGTTTTAAAATTTTATTTTCTTTCATTGCAAATGATTTTTAAAAATCTAAGTTATAGGCAATGTGTAATAAACACTCCATGAAACGAATCCAGCAGTGTAAAGTGGAAAGTCCAAATTTATAATTATCTTCGTTAGATAGTAAACTATTAATGAATGATAAATCATTCATTTTGCTTGGATTAGCGTTACATATATTACAACTATTGGAAGACTTTTGACCAGTTAAAACGTTGCACGTCTTGCCATCAATCATAGTGCACTTAAGGTTGTACGTGACTTGATACGTTATGTCTTCAATAGTTACATGTGTTGTAGCAAGTTGACTAATTTCTTCATTATAAAATGTATATTCATTTAAAGTATGCGTAGCACTTTCTTTTATAAATTCAAATTTTATTGGCCGGCAATATCCGGTCGAGGAGGGCCGCTCATTTATCCATACAATAGCGTTATTAGCTAATAATTTAATTGGAACAAATGAAATAATAAATACTGCTCTATCAGTATTCTCGTCTTCTTCACCATATGATAATGATGCATCATAACTATCATTTAATCGATTATTCACGGAAGTTCTTTCCCGTTTTGACCATTGTTGTCTTGTAGTTTGTTGACTAGAAGCGCCATCCATGCCCCATTTCCCATACAAAACTAATTCTCTACTATTCAATGCATAAAGTTTTTCTTTGTCTAATGTTAAGAAGATTCTATGCACAGTATGATCTAATAGTGATTGCAGTTTAACGCTCGCCTCATTTTCTGTAACAATAATGTCTTTTGGGTAACATTTTTCTTTCGCTTTCCTAATGTCTTTGTACGAAGGATATAGTTTGTCTCCATGTAAATCTTCATTGTACATACGCAATCTTTGATACTTACCTTTTGTCATTCCTAAGTCCATATACATAGCTAGAGAACTGTTTACATCTTTTGTAGTTTTTATAATTTTTTTTTCGGAAATAAGCTGATCAATAGATTTTGAACGTAAACAATCAATTGCTCGTGTTAGCTCTTCTTCTGTATATTTTTCGAGAAGATCAGAAATGCGTCTCTTTTTAGTTTTGTCTGAAACCTCATTATAAGATAAACGTGGTCGACCACGCTTATTTAGTGAAGGATTACACACTTCGTTAGAGAGATTAGTATAATTACTTGGACTTTGTGAAATTGAAGTAAGGCAAACTGTAAAATGATTATTTAGGAACTGTTTGAACTTCTTTTTAAAAGTAGATCTATTACGAGTAGCCATATTCCATTTCCTATTATAAGAGGGTAAAAAATTATTCAGCAGTTTATTTTTAATCTCTTGAAGTTGAATGTCATTGTAACTGCATTCGTTTTTAATTTTATCGATTAATATATCTATCTTCTCTTTGTCCGTTTCATTATTATTCCATATCCAGGAACACAAAATTTCCTGTCTCATTGTAAAATTCATCTTTTCAATCGTAGTTTTTACAAATTACGCGTGCCCTGAAATGCGTTACTGTATTTATACAGCTTGCATCAATAACTCCTGCAGCGAGTAATTGTTCGTCACACGCCACAATTTCAAATCGCAGACGAGAGTCCCAAGAATCGAGTGGAGAGGA